CCAGGGTATCACCGCCCAGACTATTAACGATTCGCGGCGCGACAAAAAGAAATTAAAGTCGAGTGCTTCTAGAACTTATACAATATTTTGCTAAATCTGTGATTGAAGTTTGGTGGCCGGAATCTTTACAAATGAGTTTCACGAATGTTTCGCGGATCGAAACCTTAAGTAAAGACAACTACGACACATGGAAAATCCAGATGCAAGCCTTATTAGTCAAAAATGATGCATGGGGATACGCTAACGGAGAAATCGAGAAGCCGGAGTTGAAATCCGACAACGAAGAATCTAAAAAGGAAGTCGAAAGCTGGGATAAAAACAACAGCAAAGCCAAATCAGATATTATATTATCCATAATCCCGTCAGAGCTTAAAAATATCAAGAACTGCAAAACTTCAAGCGAAGTATGGCTCAATCCAAAGGTCCCGTAAGAAAGGCAACTTTATTGAAGCAGTTAACATTGCAACGCATGGGCGAAGATGGAAACGTTCTGGAACATTTGAACAAATTTTTCGACGCTGTTGACAAGCTGGAAGAAATGGACATTCCCATCAATCCCGATTTGCTTGCTATCATGCTGCCATACAGTTTACCGTCAAGTTTCGAAAATTTTCGTTGTGCTATTGAGTCGCGAGACAAGTTACCGACTTCAGAAACGGTACGTGTAAAAATCATTGAAGAGTCCGACGCTCGAAACAACGATCAACGGAACGCGAGTGGTTAGGACGCAATGTTCGTGAATAAAAAATACAAGCAAAACAAGTGGCGTTCAAAAAATGGCGGAAAGACTGATGGTGCCAAGGTTAATTCAGGCAACACCCAGAATTCGACCGAAAAATTCAAATATCAGTGCCATCGATGCAGGAAGGTGGGCCACAAAGCTGCAGATTGTCAAAACAAAGGTAAACAATTACAATCTAGTGCGAATTGCCACACAGAAAATTCTGAAACCTCAAATTTTATGGCAGAAGAAGCTTTTAAAATCGCAACGTCAGAAAGTGCGAATTACTGTACGCGAAAAACTAAACTTAGCTAATAATATGCCGACGGAAATAACTGCTAAAGGAACCGCCAAGATCAAAACCGATATTCATGGTGAATGTAGGTTGATAAATCTACATAACGCATTGTATGTGCCAGATTTACGCACGAACTTATTATCTGTAGCCAAAATTATCAAAAACAATTTTCAAGTCTTATTCAAAAAGGAATGTGCTTTAATTCTTGATGAAAGGGACAATATTCATTTAATTGCCGATCGTGTAGGCGATTTATATTTTGCTCCCGAAGAAAATGGTGATTTAGCGAACTCTGCAGTGTCTCAAAAATTTTCTACAAACTCTATGACGTGGCATCGTAGATTAGGTCACCTAAATTTTAGAGATATGCATGAATGTAAACGCAAAAGCACAATGAATGGTTTAACTTTCAATTTAAATGAAAAATTCGATGAAATTTGCGACACTTGTTACAAATCAAAAATGACTAGAGCTCCTTTTCCTAAGAAATCCGAACGCGAATTGTTCATACGGACGTTTGTGGTCCGATGAGGGTAGAATCTCTTGGAAAATCAAAATACTACGTCGAATTTATTGATGATTTTTCTAAATATTCCACGGTATACTTTATCAAATCAGAAAGCGAAGTTTTAGATAAAACCAAAGAATTTATCGTTCTGAGTATGTATCCAAAGAATTCGAAGATCTTTTGAAGTCGCCCGGAATTTTACGTCGATTAACAAGTCCATATTGCCCCGAACAGGACGGAATTGCCGAAAGGAAAAACCGGACTCCTATGGAAACTGCGAGATGTTTGTTGACGCAAGCAGGGTTGCCTCCAACCTTTTGGGCCGAAGCTGTTCATACAGCAAATTACTTACGTAATAGATGTCCGACAAAATCTTTAAATGGAAAAACGCCTTACGAAATTTGGTTTGGTAAAGTTCCAGATATTTCTCACTTACGAGAATTTGAATGTAAACTATTTTGTTTTAATCGGGATCCGAAAAAAGGCAAATTGGACCCAAGATCCAAAGAAGGAATTTTTATCGGATATTCTGAACAAACCAAAGGATTCAGAGTTTGGTTACCCGATGAGAGAAAACTGATAGTAACCAAAGACATCAAATTTATTGAGAAATCTGACTCCAATATACAGGGTGTGACGAAAGAAAACTGCGAATATGACTTTTTTCCACAAGAAATGTCAAATTCAGACATCGAACATGGAGATCAAGAAATCCAAACCTTTGACATTCAATTGAGTCCACAAAGTGACAACAGCTTAAATTTCGATTTAAATTAAAACGTGGATGATTTTCAAGATGAAACGACTTGGAACATAAACCGGCGAGAGCACGTGTCGTCCGCGAATTATGCGAACAGGTTCCAGAGGAAGGCCCCGAAAAATCTACAATCTTCAATATGCAAATATGGTTCAAGATGTCGAAAATGCATTTTTATCGGAAATACCCATGAAACAGGCATTAAATGGTACCGATTCAAGCGAATGGATTAGAGCTATAGCAGAATTGTCCTTCGAAACAAATTCCAGCTAATGGTTTATTGGAAAGAAGAAAGGCACGACTGGTAGCACAAGGATTTAGCCAACGTCCTGGCATTCATTTTAATAAAACTTTCGCTCCACTAGCTCGCCTAAGTACAGTACGATTAGTTGTAGCATTATCTGCTCATTATAGTATAGAAATTCAGCAACTTGATGTTCAATGCGCTTATCTCAATGGTGAATTGAACGAGACCATCTATATGGAAATTCCGAAACATTTTCCGAGAATTCTAGAGATTATTATCGAGACTAGTACAGGTGACATTAGACAAAAACCTCACGATATGTTGTCCGAACTTCATAATGGTGATAAGGTTTGTCTTCTACGCAAATCTTTATACGGTTTACGACAAGCTGGTAGAGCTTGTTATAATAAACTTGATAAGATATTACGAAAATGTGGAGCTACTCCAACCAAAGCAGATCCGTGTTTGTACCGCTTGAATGGAGGGGAAGATCTTACTTTAGTTGTAGTGTATGTTGACGATATACTCATCGCATCGAAAAACACTCACGCTCTTTCGAAATTAAAGCGAAAACTCGCTCAAGAAGTCGAACTTCGAGAACTAGGAAATGTCGACAAGTGCTTGGGAATAGAATTCGTTCATCAGGATCGGAAAATATCTTTACATCAGAAATTCTTAATCGTTTTGGCATGGCCAATGCGAACATAGTAGCTACTCCCATGGATCCAAATGTGAAGTTATCTATACCTACTGAAGAACCAAATAACGAAGAGTGAGCGTTGCCCTATCGTGAACTGATTGGTGCTTTAACTTATTTGGCATTGTCGACACGTCCAGACATTAGTTTTGCCGTTAGGTATCTTGCACAGTTTGACAACTGCTTTAGAAATATACATTGCACAGCTGCAAAGCGGATACTTCGTTATCTCAAAGGATCAATGGACTTAGGAATCACTTTTAAATCCGAAAACAAATGTATTAGAGGTTACGTTGATGCCAATTGGGGTAATTGTCCCGATGAACGAAAATCTTATATTGGATACTCTTTCATTTTATCTGGTGGTCCAATTTCTTGGGAATCGAAGAAGCAACGAACTGTAGCTTTATCTTTTAGCGAAGGTGAATACATGGAACTCACCGAGGCCGCGAAAGAAGCTATCTACCGGAAAGATTTTATCCTGGAGCTAGATTTTACAGACTTAGCTAAGATAAAATTATTCAACGACAACATCAGTGCTTTAAAGCTGGCGGAGAATCCAACTTTCCACGCCAGAAGCAAACACATCGATATCAGACATCATTTCGTGCGTGAAGCTTTGGAAAAACGTTTATTTTCAATTTCTCATATTAGTACATTAGAAATGTTAGTAGATATCCTTACCAAAGGCTTGACACGCGAAAAAACATAACAACTGTGTTGAACTGTTAGGACTGAAGTGTTAGAGAAAAGTTTTGCTGACTCTCAATCTAGTGAATGCGCTAATTACGCCGCGCGAGCCAACTGTCCGTCCGTAACCATGGCAACCGCCTTTGTTCGCGCCCCGCCGGAAAATTCGCCAGAGTCGGGATCTACATCGCGTAGAAAAATACCGACGCGAAGTACAACAACGCAAGTTGCACTTAGTACTTTTTGATTCTCCTCCCGTTTGTCCATTTTTGTTAATAGTATTCTGTGAATCGTGATTTCTTTTCATTAAAGTTCTTAATCAGAACTTCGGGTTTGATTTTACTGCTGATTAAACTCCGCCGACAGATGCAAATGACAGTTTAGTGTCGTACAAAATGCCAAGGTCTTTGAAATGATATTAAGTTCTTTGTTGTAATTTTAAACCTTCATAATGTATTTTAGAGTTACGAAACTATGAAGTAGATTTGTCATTAAATATTATGTGTGCCTTGACAATCATATCGATTTCCATGATTTCAAACAACACTCAATTTTTTATTTGGATCCCATTTGATTCACAACTGACACTTGGGTACATTACAAATGATTTGAATGTTCAGCTCTGAATATCAAAACAAAACTGCACACACGAACATGCCAAAACAACAAAGAAAACTTTTTGGGCATAAAAATTAGGTTGATATAAATAAATAGTTCTGAACAATATTCTTTTCCACCCAAGAAGCACAAAACATCTACTACAATAATAACCAATTGCTAATTAAAATAGATTTTCTTTTGGTAAGTTGGGATTGCTAATAGTTTATAACAAAGTGTTATCAAGCAACGTAAATGAATGATTTCTACAGTTTGGTAAAGCTTTCAAATATCAATAATGATTTTATTTTACATGTACTTATCTATACTCGTTGACACTGTACAAATCTACCTGACATGGCGGATGATTAATCTGAGTTTTAGTCATTTTTTCTTTTTTTTTATTCCTGAATAATGAACAAATTTCAAAGGTGCCCTTTCCAGTAAAGTAAAAATAACAAAACTTAAATATAACAAAAACTTACGTAAAAGTTTCTCCCTGGCGGTCAAATAATAAAGTTTCCTCACAATTTCTTCACGGCGAACTTGGTATCAACAGCATCCATCTGATGCATAACGATGATAAAGCAGCAGTATTCTTTCAAGCCCTCTATCCATTCAAATTGACAAAGCTCATCAAATTGGTCAAGTTGAACTCTTCACAAAGGTCCTGAATACAAATGTTAGTTGTAAAACTCACTTTGAAAAAACTTTTGCCTTAAAATTACTTTGTACCGCCAAAAGGTAGTGCCAACATGCCAGGGGTTTCTCAGATGATACACCACCCCAAATATGTCAACTTTGCAATTAACAAGAGGCTTCAGAAAAACAGTAACTGAGCTTTCTAGCTATACTGGTACCTCCTCCCAAGATTGGTCCTTGCTGATAAAATTGACAGAAACTTTCGTTTCTATAGTCTCATGTATTGTTCAAGATTACGGCATTTCTATAAGCTTATGCATTCTCAACTCCATCAAATTTATTATGGAAATCCTGATTGCTTTGACACCACCTACATGACACTACTCAGCTAAAAAACAAGTCAACCATGAAGACTACAGAAATTATATGTTATTACCTGTGAGGGCCAACATACATTTTAATGCAAAACATGACCGAAAGTGTGTTTTGGACCGAATCGGTAAAACTGTTATAACCAAACACATAAATTTGATCTTGCTAATATCGCCTACACGGTACAACGCAGTTTACGTACTTATTAGATGGGGAAATATTAACTGCAGTCGCCAAATCTGACGTGTGTAGTTTCCGAATTCTGATATTCTCATTGCGGTCAAATTCTCAACGTTCCGTTTTTGCTTACAGCATACTGTTAGATTACGTTCGAATATTTAAATATTGGCGCGATCTATCGATTTCGGACGCGTCGGGAAATCTTCGGGTCTATTCGCGCGCGTGAGCCGAGACGCCGCAGAGGGTGGCGACGGGCATCAGTTTATGCCCCGCTTTGACACCGAGATCGGAAAAGTCGTCTATAAAACGATCTAGATTTGTTCAAATCTAACATCAGGTGTGGGGTACACGTGTAATCGTTTAACGTAATTTGGGGTGTGCTATAATGGCCGAAGAAGAACTGAATCGATCCCTGGGCGCCATAGCGTCGATCCTTGAGAATTTGCAACAGTGTGTCGGTACAAAGAGCCACCGCCGACATCAACCGCATCGTCAGCCACCCAAACCACTCCCATTTCGTTGGCCTTGCCGAGTTTTGACCCCAACAATATGGATAGTGGTATTTGGTTACAAAAAATTGAAGGGTATAAGAAGGATTTTGCTTGTTCAGATCGGGAAACCGTGAGAAAAATTGGTCCTTTTTTGCAAAAATCCGCACAAAGATGGTTTTCGGCATGGCAACCCACGGAAGAAACGTGGGAAAATTTTAAATTTGATTTTTCTGTATCTTTTCCCAAACAAAAGAATTTGGGTAAACTGTTAAGAGATGCTGTAAATTATCGTAGTTCCGATGTGCGCAGTTATGTTGAATACGCAAGAATTTAATTAGAAAAATTAAAGCGCACGCGGGCAAGTTGGTCTTATTCGGATTTGATCGAAATAATTGCGCATTCAATAGACGATCTTGTGGTGAGAACTGCGGCCTATAATTGTAGTGCCACCTCTGTTAGTGATTTAATTGCATTTCTCTCTAATTACATAAAGGTTCCTCTAGTCGAAAAATCGGCATCCGAATTGAATAAGAAAAATAATGTATTTTCACACAAAAAAACGACACAGGCAAATTGTTATTCTTGTGGTCAATTGGGGCACTTTTCTCGCGATTGTAAATCTAAAACTAAGAATACCAATTTCTCGGATAAGAAAGGGTTTGATGTTTGCCGATATTGTAAAAGACCTGGTCACGGCATTGAAAATGGTTTTCGTCGGCAAAATAAACAAAGTCAAGGAAGCGAAGTTTTAGAATCCGGACGGGACCCAACCGTAAAGAAATTTAAATCACATCACGTTTTGCTCAATTCACATAATTTTATTGAAAACAAGTTAAAAACTTCGCCTATCGTTATTTCGGGTTACACTACAAATTGTTTAATTGATACCAGCTCCACGTGTTCGCTAATAAAAGAAATGTTGGTAGACATATTAAATCTAAAGAAAATTCCGCGTGTTACTCCTTTAAGATGGTTCGACGGTATCATACATAATTCATTTTCTTTTACCGAAGCATTGGTGGAGTTTCCCTAAATAAAAATAACGCTTGATCTTGTTATTGTGCCGCATAGTCATTACAAATATGACGTCATCGTTGGTGAAAATGTTTATGAAAATAATGTAGTTTTAATAAGAAATAAAAACGTTCAAAAAATTATGCCTATGCTGGCGCCTACAAATTCTACTCAAACCATTCATAACTTGGAAATAACAAGTGATTTGGGGCATACAGAAATTGCTAAACTAATCAAACTGCTGGGTAATTATCAGAATTTGTCAACTGCTACTGATTTTACCATTAAACCTGTCAATACCGGGGAATTAACCATCACATTGACAGAAAACAAAACTGTTTATCACCATCCTTATTGTATGTCGGAGTTTGAGCGTCAGAAAGTACGTAACATCGTTACTGATCTAATTAAAAACGAAATCATCCGGGAGAGCAATTCTCCATTTGGGAGCCCGATTATACTCGTTAAGAAAAAAGACGGGACATTTCGATTGTGTGTCGATTATCGTCATTTAAATAAAATAACTTTAAGAGATCGGTATCCGTATCTCGATCGTTTAGGCAAAAATAAATTTTTCAAGTCACTTGATAAGGCTTCAGGCTTTCCCCAATTCCCGATTCTTCTTCTTCTTTAAGTGCCGTCTTCGTTGCGAAGGTTGGCAATCATCAGTGCTATTCGTATTCGTGACACAGCCGACCGAAATAGTTGGTTTGTGGTGCACCCGAACCAGTCACGTAAGTTTCTCATCCATGAGTGACGCCTTTTTCCTACACTTCTCTTTTCTTGAATTTTTCCTTGTAATATCAGTTGGGGTAGTTGGTACTTTTCTCCTCTCATGACGTGTCCAAGGTACTGAAGTTTACGCTTTTTACCGTAATGATAATTTCTTTTTCCTTTTTTATTCTTTTCAGGATTTCCATGTTGGTCACAAATCCCGATTAATCCCGAATCAATTCCAAAAACCGCTTTCGTGACACCGGATGGGCAGTATGAGTATTTAAAAATGCTTTTTGGACTGGCCAATGGTCCTGCGGTCTTTCAGAGAGCAATTAATATGGCTTTAGGTAACCCAAAATATGACACCGCGGTTGTTCACATGGATGACATAGTAATACCCTCTATCGCACTTGAGCATGGATTTTGTAAACTAAAATTAGTTCTTGATGCTTTGTCTAAAGCCGGATTTTCAATTAATCTTCGTAAATGTCGATTTTTTATGCAAAACATCACCTATTTAGGTCGTCAAATATCGGCTGATGGTATCCGACCTGATCTGAATAAAGTTAAAGCAGTCAAGGAAAGTCTGTCGCCCACTAACGTGAAACAAGTGCGCCAATTCATCGGTTTGGCGAGCTACTTCCGTAAATTTATTCCCGATTTTTCTTCCAAAGTAGCTTGTATAACTCACTTGACTCGTAATAATGTTCCTTTTGTTTGGACGACTGAATGTGAAAAAGCGAGGCAGTATGTTGCTGATGTCCTTACTCAAAAGCCCCTATTGTCAATTTTCGATTCAAATTTAGAGACTCAATTGCATACTGATGAGAGCAGTATTTTATTGCAGAAACACAGTGATACTTTTCGTCCAGTGTTTCAGTCAAAAAACCAATCCAGATGAAGCTATGTATCATTCGTTTGAACTAGATACTCTGACCGTTGTGAAAGCTTCTAAAAATTTTCGTGTATATTTGCTTGGATTAAGATGCTCTCTAGTAACTGATTCTAATTCCTTAAAATTATCTGCAAGCAAAAAAGAACTTAAGCCGCGTACCGCCCGCTGGTTGGCTTATATGCAGGATTTCGACTTCGAAATTGTTTATCGTAAGGGCTCTGAAATATCTCATGTTGACTTCCTTAGCAGGAACCCAATTGAAACTGTACCTCATATCGATTCACAGCCCAATTTTCATAAAAATTGGCTTACCGTATCACAAAGTCAAGATGAGGAATGCAAACAAATCATTCAATCTTGGAACGATGTTAAAGACGATGTCAAACGAAAATATAAATTAGAAAAAGGGACCTTATTTCGTATTACAACCAATAAAAATAGCAAATCGTCTCAGTCTTTACTTTTCGTACCATCTAATACCCGTTATAGTCTTTTGAAAATATTTCCCGATGATCAAAGTCACATAGATTGGGAAAAAACTCTTGCCTCAATCAAACTTTACTTTTCCCCATATGATCAGGTATGTTAAAAAGTATGTTGAACATTGTTTGATATGTGCAGTACGAAAAAATCGGACGGGTCCTAAACAAGGTTTCTTTTCTTCTATCCCAAAGCCCGATGAACCATTCCATACAGTTCATGTCGACTGTCTGGGCCCCTTACCAGGTAATCCAAAAAACTATAAATATATTCTTGTTATAATTGGCGCTTAAGATGGATATAGTGGCTCTTACTGAAACTAAAAAGAAAGAAAAAGGCAGTGAACAACTAGAGGAATACATACATTTATACAGTGGTGTAGATAAGGCCAGTCGAGCCAAAGCAGGTGTGTCGTTACTTATAAAAAAGAGACTAGCCAAAACTATTAAAAATTTGGACGCGTTTAATGAACGTATATTGAAAGTCGAACTCAAACTGAAAGGCTTTGAAACTGTTATAATAGCAGCGTACTCACCCTCGAATGACGACATGGTCGCACATAAAGACGACTATGATGAGAAACTAAACAATTTATTGGATTCCATAAGCAACAGAAAAGATATTATTCTTATAGGAGATTTTAACGCTCACGTAGGATCAAAAACAAAGGACGCAATAGTAGGACCTTATGGAGGAATTGACGTTAATGACAATGGAGACAGGCTTATAGAACTATGTCAACAACACTCACTATGAATTCAAAATGGATTCTTTAAACACAAGGACATCCATAAGCATACTTGGGTTCAGCCTACTCTCCAGAGAAAATCAATTATTGATTTTATTGTAACTAGACAAACCACCAAGATTATATGATGTTCGAGTGTATAGAGGTGCAGAGTGCGGCACAGGTCTTTACCTCGTAAAGACAAAAGCTTTCTTTCCATTGATAATCCATTCAGAAAGATAGCCAACAACAAATTGTCGAGAAGAAACACATGAAATAACATATAAATTGGATGGTCTAAAAGAGGAATCGACAGCATTCCTATATACACTTAGGTTAAATTTAAAACTCAGTAATGTAACATATTCATCTGGTTTAAAAACCTATAATAGCATATTGAGATGTATACGAGAAGCCGCTCACATAAGATCACCGAATGGTGGAACGAAGACGTTGAACAATTGATACTAGAAAAGAAACAAGCATATAACACCTGACTGACTACAAATAGAACCGAAGATAGAAGATACTATACTCGCTGCTCCTATAAGGTTAAAAAAGCTGTACGAAAAGCGAAAAATGATTTATGGGACAACAAATGCATGCAAATCGATCAGCAAATAGGATACAGTAGATCCAGTGAAGCAGTGGAGAACTTTAAAATCACTGAGAACAGACAGAGAAGAAAGAGTCCCTATCAGCTTTATACAACCAAGTGAGTGGGTATGCCATTATAAGCAACTGTTCACCGAAAATCGCCCAGAATTTATAAGAGATAGTCAAGACGAGAGTATAAGTTTAGATAGATCACTTACGGAAGAAGATTTAATAACAGAAGAAGAAGTAAGAAAGGTTCTTGGAGAAATGAAAAATGGACAAGCTCCTGGGCCAAAAGGAATTCCCATCGAACTTTTAAAGAATGGACCAAACTTACTCTTCCAACTAACATTTGTTTTCAACAATTACCCCCAGAATGGAATACTGCCTACATATCGAATTTACATAAAAAAGGTGACAGGAAATTATGCTCAAACTATAGAGGACTTAGTGTAACAAACTCCCTTTCAAGACTATATGGAAAATTCATTAAAACACGAATAGAACAACAATTTTTTTTTGTGTGTTCATGTCTGTAACACTTCAAATGAGTCATGCATTCCGAGAGTGGAATGTTGTCAGTTTGGCCGTGTTAGATTACGTTTGAATATTTACATATTGGCGCGATTTATCGATTTCGGATGCGTCGGGAGATCTTCGGGTCTATTCGCGCGCACGAGCCGAGACGCCGCAGAGGGTGGAGACGGGCATCAGTTTATGTCCCGCTTTGGCATGCACCGCTCGACATTGGCACCGAGATCGGAAAAGTCGTCTGTAAAACGATCTAGATTTGTTCAAATCTAACAATACTAACACTAGTGTAATTATTTTATTTTCCATTGGAGAGAATTAAATGTTCCACGGTATCCCTGTTGGCGGCCCCTTGCTTAATCCTTTTCTGTGCATCACAGATTCAGGGCAGACTGCTAAACTGTTTGTATTCTGTGTTTTCAGATCACCTAGTATTACCGCCGTATCTCCTTGTTTCCATGACTATGGTCGATTGGTACCAAGTTTAGAATAACCTTCCCCATTAAAATTCTGTGGCTGTATGTTACGATCATATAGCTATGAGGTAACATAGTGGCCCTGCTACGGTAAAAAGTGATGCGCCGCAGGTGGCTATGATATTTTCGTAGAGAAGGTCTGGATTTTATGCGCATGCGTCACCGCCAACTAACTGAGTTGCCACATTGCCGTAATTTTTCTGAAAAAATTAACTAATTTTCATAAGAACGCACAAAATCAGTCTCTGAAATTTGAATAGAATTGCCAACGCCGAGCTAAGAATTGCTATTGCCAGAGAATACTAACACTCTGTGACATTGTTATTTACATTTTTGGTGGTTATGATTCTCTCCGTCTCTTTTTCGTGTTTTTGTGAAAACCTTGTTGTTTGGGGTCAAAACTGTAAGGAAAAGAATATATACGGGTAAGTGTTGGATTATGCAGAAGTTAATTTGAAAGATTAAAAAGTGGTTTCTATAGGACTCGCACTCACAAACTTGTATAATTGGTGCTTTCAATACTTACTCCTTCACGAGATTACAAGTGTGGAAAATTTGAGGACCTCAGACAAATCCGAGTGATTTAACAAATTGCAAGATACACTTAAATAGCTACATAGGAAAGATGTTTGTGTAATATGTTTTAATGTACAAGAATTACGGGGAATGTAAGAAAAAAATTAGGCTGCAAGTTTTACTAGAAAAATTACAAGAAATACTTCTTGATAATTACAAATCTTTCCAAACCTCAATGTGGGAAAGTTTTCGTTCGTCATCATCACGCTTAGTAAAAACAAAATTTCCTTTCGGTTGGTCAAAAATTACAGAAATTATTACCGCCGAAAGTGGGGAATTATCAGAATCAGTTCAGCTGCAACAGGAAGAAGTTAAATGATAAATCTGCAAGATATTTTTGTTTCTGTTTTTTAGTTTTGATAATCACTTATCCAGCTAGTGTCATTCAATTTACATTTTATTTTTTAGTTTACCAAAAGATGAAATTGTAAGGAAACAATGGATAATATTGCTTGTCAAAAATGGAACTGCCAGGGAGGCTGATAGCTTTAGAAGATCATCCATATGTGAGGGGGTCACATCATTCCTTTAAGCTATAGAAGAGGTGGTAAAGTCTTGATAAAGTAGGCAGTGTCTTTTAGGTAGATATACTTGTTTTCTGGTCATTCTATTTGCCAATGATACTTGACAGCCCATATTTAATGTGCCAAATGGTACCTTTTTTTTTCTAACCAGACTGATAAGATTTATCAAATAATTTCACATTCCTTAAAAATATTATTTTGTTGGTAATATTACCAACTTTTTTTGGCCTAAACTATTGTTATTTTTTCTGCATAATTTGTGATTGAAATTTTTCCATATTTTCAATTTTCCAATTTTCCACAAGAGAAATTTTTGTTGATAGGGGTTCGTTTTTGAGCTTTATTTCCAATAAGTCAAAAGAATAATTTCTTTCCTAGGTAGAATTAGAGCAGACACCAGCAGATCTTTAATCTTCAGTGGTATTCAAAATAACATAACAAAGTTAAAGTGTAACATATTGTCCACAAGTGCTTCTATTTAAATTTTCTTTCGAATTTACAGTTCATGAAATTTTTGCTGTAGTTATTCTACTAATAATGAACAATATTTTATTAGGTTTTTTTTTAATTGGTTTCATCTTCTTTTTTGCAATTTTTAAAGGTGATGATTCTCTCAAATCAAGTAATATAAAAGTTCCTTGAAAAATAAAAAATACATATAATTAAGCTATTAAAAAATGCTGCATATATTTTTATGTAATTTCTTATTTTGTTTATAAGCAAGAATATATTTTATTCTCTTCAATAAAGGCCTCATCAAATAATTCATGTATTTATTTATACTAACCAAAACGAGTTAATAAAACACTATATAAAATGCTATTATAATTGAAGGTAAATCGTAGTTGTGGCATTAACCAAACCACTAAACAAAACCAGTATCGACTGTGCACCTGGAAAAAAATATTTCTTAGTAAGACATCTTCCTTTTAGAATGTTTAATGTCAGCTTACACTCTCAAAAAATCCCGAGCATTTCTGGAAAAGTAATTTTTGTAATTATTTAAATGTTAAGTAAAATTTATTTACATTTAAATCCAAATTGCAATAAAATGTAGCTAAATTATTGTGTGAATTGATACTAGTGTCTAACGCCCGGTTAACTTTTTTTAAAATTAGACCATTAATTACACTTTTTAGGGTTTGGTGATGTTAATTCTGTTACATTTAGGGCTAATTGTTTATTGACTTGTTTTATACTAGTTTTTAATTTTCTTGGTTACAGTTTTTTAACGAATTTGTCCATTGGTACTTTTCATAATTATATATTTGGGAGGTGAAATTTTCTGCAATTACTAGACTTGCGATGAAAGAATGAGCGTTCTGTCTACATGAAGTACCTGTGTAATATCTAGTACCTCATTTATATTTTATATTTATACTTTTAGAGTCACATTTCATGAATTCGACTTTATTTACATTTTCCATGGAGGTTAAACCAATAGATTTATAAAAACCAGCTCTTTGCACCGATTTGCGGGCACAAATTCGAGCAAAAATTAGCTGGTATCGTGTCTATACCGCTTAAAGGACCAAAACGTTAAAATACTTGCAGAATGACGCCGATCCGTGTGCTATAAATCTGCATAATATTAACTCTGGACTAGCTGCTAATTTTTTTAACAACATGCAGCATCCAAAAATTGACGACCTGTTATCGGCCATGTTGGATGTTGGAAGCCACAAGGCCTTATGGGTCGAACGTCGGAAAATGCAATTAGAGCTGCCATTGGGTAACACGAAATTTCAAATCTCGCGCATGCACATATTGAACAGACGTCAAAATTTTGTTACATAGTTGCTTCACGAGTTTCTTTACTATTATAACAATTGCTATGATACTTAGCCTCAGCAGCAACTACATCATATTTATACTCAATGCGTGCAATGACAGATTTTGCTATATCATCGTCAGGCCGAGCTTGAGCTATCTTTAGAATAGAGTTTTTAAATTCAAGAGTAGCAACTTTATTAATTTTGCGTCGAGCGTCTTGCGCTTTTTTTTCAGCTTCTTCATTGGTTTCATTGCCGCAAAATAAACAAAAATTTTTAAAACAAAAATTAGATTCACTTACCCGCGCTCTAGTACGAGGTGGACTTATTCCAGATATACCGGCTTGTTCCATTTCGTTCTGTCTTTTGATTGCAGCAGCAATAGAACTCTTTCGAGTATATGGTTTACGACACTGAGTATGGATAGTCACAGATTTATTTTCTGTCAGAAAATCAAGGTATCCATAATTTCTCTCAACATTTGCATCAATTACAGTCTTCATTCCACGATCAACAACAATAATTTCACTTTTAGCTAAAGGTTTACTACAAACAAAGTAAAACTGCGACATTTTTCAAGAATTATTGAACAGTACAAAATTTTATAAGAGATATTAACAACGAGAACGTGTATTCGCTGCAAAAAAACATTGAATACTGAAAGTATATAGAAACAGTCGACCGGCTGACTTCCCATAGATCGTTGACAAAAAAAAACAGGTATAGGACCGTCGTCATTTGAATAACAGAGATACACGCAGGTGCTGCTCAAGGATATACGGGAGAATGAACTTAGGGACTGAGTTTCTCTTAAGTGTATATTCATTTGGTATGGGTTTGAAATCGTAAAATTTGTATGTATAAATTCTATGAATAAATATTTTCATTTAAATTACATCTTTAATGACGTATGTAGGCGGCGTATTAGTGTAGACGTGCAGCTTATACGTGTATATTAGTATTTACGATGTTTAAATTGGAGATATCTCTAAAATGGTTACTCGGACAAAAAAAAGTAAGGAATTCTTTTTTATAGATAATTTTCTGATCTACAACATTTATTTCACCAGTTTTTGCGATAATAGTTACCGTTTACGAAAAAAATGCAAAAAATCGTTTTTTTTACCTTTGACTTTGAATAACTTTTTTAGCAGGCATGGATGGGATCAATGGGGACTTTTGACACATTATTTATAATGATGAACTTAAGCCCTGTACCAATTTTTAGCTCTATGCGAATTATTGCAAACCTAGCCCGATGTTTTGGTCTATTTCTACCGGACTAACTAGCATAGGCAGGGCTTCTTTCTATATGTCTAGTAGCTATGGTTACGATGATTGATATGCGATTGCAGCAGGGTCATGATTGCAATTGCCGCCATTTTGGACAAGAAAATGTTGCACGCATATCTTGACGAAAGCGCATGGGTGTAAACATTTGATGTACGTGAATTTTGTTCCCGAAGTCGTCCATGTGCCAATTCAACGCACATTTGTGATGTTACGTTATTGTAACGACTGTGGATTGGTAAGTCCTGTGTGTTATGTCGGTTAAATGTCTTGGAAATTCGTTTTTATTTTGTGTTATTGTTTGCCGTGACCCTTATCCGGTAAGTTTATTTTTGTCATTTGAACAGTGTCTTAAAAGATTTTTTTTGATGTTTTATAAACTGCCATCAACATTTTGCTTTTATTTTTTTGTATTCATGCGTTAACAAGTGGATCTATTCGTTTGCATCTTTTCCATATATTTCCAAAATGACCCAGAATTACATAGAAGTCAATATCTACGATATTAAAAGAGTATTCTCAAAAATAGTTTTCTGTAATTTTCTATGTACAGGTATTGCCCAAATATTTGCACTTAAAGGCAAACGTTATTTAGACTCGTTGTTGCTTACTATATTACAATAATATATACAGGGTAGCTGACTGCTGTGGCATTAGTTTATATCTGCATAGAAAATAGAACAATTTGGACTCAACTTTCGTTTAGCTTATATAATTTATATAAATTAGCATAGTACTTTTATATTTTAGAAGAATATATGAATCTAGAAATACAACCAGCTACATTAAGACTGATATTTTCCCTGAATTCTTAAAGTTTTAATGGACATAGATAAAAATTTTCCTTCGTAAATAGGTTATTTCCATTTTAAGAAGAAATTTTAAATGAATGAGTTGTCGAAATTAGTTATATTAAAATTGTTTTTTACTGCAAAATTAGAGCAACTGCTTAAAATTCGTTAATTTTTTTTGTACTGACCGTATAAAATAAATGGAATACTGGATTTGTTAACCAATTCCAGACATGTTTCTTGTTTGCTTATTTCATTTTTTTTTTAAATGTGGGTCCCTATCAATTTTTTTTTTGGGCTTAATATAAAATTTCTGCGACAACGTTAAAACCACTGGTTTATTTTCTGTTCACTAATTGGGCGTAGCCTGTTAAAGATAAAGTTTTTCGGTACAGCCTAATAGTGCAAGATGCTTAAAATAAAATTTATAGAGACCTATAATGCTGCAACACCACAAAAAACAATAAAAGGACATCCAAGGTGTCAGAATAGGTTGATTTAGGTTTTCAATTACACAAAGTTCTTTTAAATAAATGAAGCCAAAAGCCCCTTAAGAATTTTGAAAATATGAAACAACAAAATAATCGCATTATTTAAAATAATGTTACATCTTTCCAAATGTTTACGTTAAGGTTTCGATGAAAGTATTACAATTAAGCAGTATAGGATAATCTGGAAGTTTTTGTAAATTGAAAAGTGAAATAATATGACTGGTGTTTCATTGAAAATAAGCGAGTGCTGTAATATACTTATGAGATTCCCTAAATATTGGAAACTATTCCATCGCGTGCAGCACATTCAAACAACTATTTTTATGCAAAATGTTTCGTGCTGTGAAAATATAAAAGAAAAATGAATAGCGCTATTTTGAGCTACCATGTATAGATTTTTGAATTCCGCAGAACTCTATAGATATATTTTGACATTTGAATTTTATGTCAAAAGTGACATTCCCAGGTCCAAATAAATATCTGTCGTTTTCTTCGACTGAAAGCCTTTATTATATATTTGAGGTTGATTTTCTTATAGAAGTGGATATACTAAGCCCTTTTTTGTTGATATTTTAAAAATAAATAAATACAGGGTGAGGAAAAAGTAACATTAAAAATTTAAATGAAAAAAATTGTTAAAATTATTTTTTTTTAATGGGAATACCGCATTTTTATAATTATATTTAGTGCTGGGCTTGGTCAATAGTCAGAACAACGCAACGGCGACATAACGCAAAATATAAATAAAGATAAATTTAATTGTATTTTTAAAACTATTTCTGTCAATTGACTGGTCAATTAGCAGTTAAAGTAGGGCAGAAAGTAGATTCCGAAAAGTTAATAGGAGAAAACCTTGATAATCTTTTTCTCGTTGTCTTGTTCAAGTATCTTGGTAACCATTAAAGGTACACACTCCTATCTTGGGTATAATTGGAATAACTGGAGAAACTTAACTATCAACTAAATGCATTTTTGGGAGCACCCCTGTTGTCTTTGGTAATAGTCTCGTAGTCTAGACATTAAAAACCTGAATACCTGAATGTTGCATAGAATGAAATATCCTTTTCACTTGTTTTATTTACTACCATATTTTAAGTGGTATCAAACTTTCAAGCAATCATTTCGAAACTTACAGAAAGTCAGGAAAATATAACATCGGTATGGAAAACCTTTTTATTGCTAATATTTTGAAATCTTATCAAAATAGCCAACATTATAACAAATTGATTGATTGATTGATTTAAGAAAAATGACCTAATGATTTCTTTATTCAATTTTTTTTAGTTAGTTGTTGACCCTGTCTTTATTTGTTTTCAATATATCCATGTAGACTTCTAAAGTAACCATTTTAAAAATAAATCAACCCCAGATATAAGAAAAAGGGTATCAATAGGAGCAATAAATTGATATAAAACCTGACAACTTCTTTATGGGCATAAAATTCAAAATTTCTCATTAACAATAAGATTTAGATATAGTTTTATTGTATATGAAATAAGTCAAGAATGTTCCTAGAAATTCAAAAATATATACAGGGTGTTCTATAAAAAAAGAAAGTTTTTAGCTGTCCAGGAAAATACCTTGTAAATATAAAAATTGAATATTTTAAAAGTGCAAATAATTTCAAACAACGTATGTCTTTAAGTTTTTTTTATATCATATTATCGCACAGTATGTCTTTCCGAGGTATCAAGAAATTATTTAGGTTGAATTGATTCAATGATCGATGTTTGATATAAAATGAAGCTTACCGTGTATATTTACCAAATTAACTGTGTCTGCAGAGTCGACCAAAACCCGACCACTCCTTCGCCTGCGACGAACCTAAATGAGCAGATTTGACACCATCATATCCGAAGGTTAGTATAAATATTTGTAAATAATTAAATAAAAATCAATATGCCACAAACCGTTTTGCATTTACGACCCCTTTAATTTCCACCATTGGTTCAATAAAACTCGATATCATTTGCTAACTTAAGCACTACCTACCCCTTGGCTGCACTCATGGCGCTGAAGTCAGTGCGTACGCGCTCCTTGTTGATAAAGGGGTGCAAAGGGGTACTGAGGAGGGTGGCTGAGGAGAGAAAGGTCACGTTGGTCTGGGTCCCGGGTCACACCGGTGTCCGGGGCAATGAGGCAGCGGACGCCTTAGCCAGGGAGGGCTCCTCGCATAGGCATATCGCCCCGTGTGTGAGGCGGGGAGCTCTCGAAGCCTGGGCGAGAGACCGGGCCGCGGGGGGCTGGAGAGTTGCTCCGGGAATGAGGCAGGCGAGGCTTATGATGGATGGGCCCGCCCTTCCTCGGACCAGGGAGCTGCTTAGACTGACCAGGAGGGAGTGTAGAGCACTAACAGGGGCCTACACAGGACATTGCAGGCTTAGGAGGCATCTCTGCTTGCTAGGCATTGGAGACGACCCGGAGTGTAGGTGGTGCATGGAAGGGGAGGAGACCCCGTATCATCTGCTCACCGAGTGCCCTGCCTTGACATGGGCAAGATTGGGAGTCTTCGGAACGGCCCTGATCGATCCGGACTCAGTGCACGGTATTGGGCTAAAGGAGTTGCTGACCTTCTACAGGAGGGACGGCATTCTGGACGCCCTCTAGAGCGGCCTGGGGCACAACGGGCCCATCTGGTGGCCTAAGTGCTTGGACGCCCGCGAGGGCGCCCCCCTTTAATACCAATATCAATACCTACCCCTTACGGTATCACTTTACGGGTTTGTATCATAAATAATTTTTAGAATCGAAAAGCTCTTCTTGTTGCCAATTTTGGCCAATTCACGTGGGAATATTTCTTTCCCCCCAACAACCACTTTATGCCGTTTTCTCTTTTCTACTTTATTGGCTTTATTATCTTTATCGGCCTACACAGCGTAGCTTCGAAGGGCACCAGCTTTTTTTTTGTAATTGTACATGACTCGCACACTACTATTTAAACCAAAAACTGAACTGTGGTAATATATCGCGTATAGAATAAATTGTAGTCGTTCGGTCTGTTATCTGCTATCCGGTCGCAAGCGCTCGTAAAATTCGTCGAATCCTGCAGAAGAATGCTGCCACTACGAGTGCAGGGTGTCGTTGCCTGAACTGTTAACCTACTCAGGTTAACATCAACGGGACATCCCCAGAAGTAGTCGAGCTTTCTTCACGAACGACGAAAGCAGCCAAAATTTAATATTATATAATATTCAATTGACAAAGGAGCCGGAGCTTGTCCAAGCAGGTAATCCAGTCAAATTCAGACACCGGTGTGCAAAATCATTCGTACAATAAACTGCCATGGATTGAAAATGCTGAACCACAGTAATAACCAAATAGAAAGGGTATCTAACAACTCAATAATATCAGATATCTTACTGTTCGAATGCCCATATCCCCAAGGGCACCAGAATCCTAATCACTGGAATCGTAACTGGATGAAATACATGCAAAAAGCTTTCATTGACAAATGACAACATCGAATGCACATCTCTTTAGAATTAATTGGAATTCCATTTTTTAATTTTGCTTTCATCCATTTTTTCACGTATATAATATTGAAAACAATACCGATGAGTATATTTCGGAATGGTTTCACAACAAATGTCAAAAAGCGAAGGTTGCAGGATTTATGATAATAAACCGTCTGCCATATGAAGTATCTGAACATTTCATAACAAAAATTAGTCTAGACCTCTTCAAGTGGTTCATTTCGTCAATCGAAAGACGCTCCTTAGTAGCGAGTTTTGTTTTCCGCTATGTTATAGTGTATATTTTTCGATCATATTTATTAAGTTAACAAAAATAATATTTATGACATATTTTGTCAATTTATGGCAATTGTACAACAATCAGTACACCCGTACTTGCTGTCTTGCCTTTTCTCATTTTCGGAACATACTCTACAACGTTTTGTGGGCTTTTTTGTAGTTGGGGGTAGTAGATCTTTGAAATGTCGTTCAAGTAATCGCGATGGTCTCAGTTTTTCGGTCTTCCACATTCCTCTCTTTCTACGGCGTATTGTTCTACCATTTATTCTCTCAAATCTAAGAGAAAGTTGAGGCCGTTTTTCGTTCTCCTAGCTTTTTGTATAAAATAAATGAATTAAGAGAAGCCATATCCAAAAAACGCCTAAATATTTTCATTTAATATTTTTTTAGGCGACAAAGATGTGTTATAATTT